ATATGCTATTTCGTTGCTGCAGCAGCAGCAGCAGCAACCGCAGCAGCAGCAGCAGCAGCAGCAACGACCGCGCCAGCAGCAGCAAGGCCTCTGCTGCAGCACCACCAGCAGCAGCGGCAGGGTCGTGAGGGGAGCCCACACCTGCCTCACTCAAACAGCAGCAGCAGCAGCAGCAAGCAACACAAACACAGTTTGCAGCAGCAGCTGCCTCAGCAGCAACAGCAGCAGCAGCAGCAACACTGAGAGCTGCAGCAACAGGACCACTCTGCACCCGAAGCCTTCAGGCTCATCATAGCTCAGGGGTAGTAGGTGAAGCTGCAGCAGCAGCAGCTGCTGCTGCTGCTGCTGCTCCTTCGCGGGGCCAGCAGCTGTTGCTGCTGCAGACACTGAAGCAACCGCCGAGGCAGCAGCAGCAGCAGCAGCAGCAGCAGCAGGAATGAGTTCTTGTCAAGGCAAGCCCTCGAAGGGCAAGGGCAGCAGCAAAGAGATGGCGAAGGCTCCTGCAGCAGCAGCAGCAGCAGCAGCAGCAGTAGAAACAGCTGCAGCAGCAGCTGACGCTTTAGATGGGCAGAAGGGGATGGAGCTGAATGAACAGCAGCAGCAGCAGCAGCAGCTGAAGCAGCAGCAGCAGCAGGAGACAGACGAGGTGGGAGAAGAGAGCGAAGAGGAGACAGAAAACGAAGGAGACAGCGACGAGGGAAGCAGCAACAGCAGCAACAGCGACGAAGAAGAAGCAGAGAGCGACAGCAACAGCAACAACGACAGCAGCAGCAGCAGCGGCGGGGAGGAGACAGAAGAAGAAGAGACAGCAGAAGAAGATGCTGCTGCTCCACCTGTTACAGCTGCTACTGCAGCAGGAAGCGCAGAAGGAGTAAGAGAAGGTGCTGCTGCTGCAGCAGCACCTTCTGCTGCTGCTGACGAGAGGCCGCAGCAAGAAGGTGCGGAGGAGACAGAAGAAGAAGAGACAGAAGAAGAGACAAGCAAGCAAGAGGAGAAGGAGCAGCCGCAGCAAAACGAGCCAGCAGCAGCAGCAGCAGGTGCTGCTGCTGTTGCTGTACCACCTGCTGCTGCTGCTGCTGCCGCACCTGCTGCTGCTGGTGGAGCGGAGTTGCAGCAAGAGAGTACAGAGGAGACAGAAGAAGAGACAGAAGAAGAGACAGAAGAGGAGACAGAAGAGGGGACAGAAGAAGCAGCAGCAGAAGAAGCAGAAGCAGCAGCAGCAGCAGGAGAGACAGAAGAAGAAGAAGAAGAAGAAGAAGAAGCAGCAGCAGAAGGGACAGAAGAAGAAGAAGAAGAAGAAGAAGAAGAAGAAGAAGAAGAAGAAGAAGAAGAAGGAGAAGAAGGAGAAGAAGAAGAAGAAGGAGAAGAAGAAGAAGAAGAAGAAGAAGAAGAAGAAGAGACAGAAGAAGAGGCAGAAGAAGAGACAGAGACAGAAGAAGAGGAGGAGGAGGCGCTGCAGCAACACGAAGGAGCAGCAGCACCTGCTGCTGCTGCTGCTGCTGCAAGTGATGCAGCGTCGTTGAGCACAGCAACATTTGAAGCAGCAGCAAAGGCTGCAGAGTCCCCTTCAGCAGCAGCTGCTGCAGCACCAAGCCCAGCAGCAGGAGCAGCAGCAGCAGCAGCAGAGGGAAGTGCTGCTGCTCGCCGTCTGCCTGTGGGGCAATGCCGCGTGTTGACTGTATCTCCAGCAGCAGCAGCAGCAGCAGCAGGAGCATCAGCAACAGCAGGAAGCAAGAAGCAGCCGCTTTGTTTTGCTGCTCTTGATATGCAAGCTGATTGCTGCTGCAGCAAAGAGATCGGAGGAAAGGAGATTGAGTCTGCTGTGCAGCGCGAAGTTTTTGCTGTTTGCTGCGGCTCTGCTGCTGCTGTACAGCTAACTGCAGCAGATGCAGCAGCACTTGTTGCTGTTCCACCTCCTGCAACAGCAGCAGCAGCAGCAGAGAAGAGCAGCAGCAGTCTTCTCAAGCAGATTGAAGCTGTCTCCGGATGCATTGCTAAAATACATCAAACACAGAGTTAGTTGCTGCTGCTGCTGCTGCTACTACTGTTGCTTCTGCTGCTGCTGCTTCTAGAGAGCCGCTGCACTTGCTGAGCCTGCTGCTGCTGCTGCTGCTTCTGCGTGCCTATGCTGCGCGTGAATCTGCTGCTGCTGCTGCTGCTGCTGCTGGTTTTGTGTGTGTTGTTTGTTGGTGTGCTGCTGCTGCTAAGTCTGCTGCAGCAGCAGCAGCAGCAGGAGGCCAGTTTATCTTTCTCTGTTTTTTTTGCTGCTGCTGCTGCTGCTGCAGAGGGCTGCAGGCTGCAGCTAATCGGCAGGGGGGAGCCGCAGCAGCAGGGTTTGCTGCTGCTACGTCTCGCGCTGCAGCAACGGCTGGGACCACTGGTCTGGACACTGCCTACAGATGTATGGCTGCTGCTGCTGCTGCTGTTGCTGTTGCTTCTGCTGCTGCTGCTGCCGTCGTGGCTGTTGCTGTTGTTGCTTCTGCTGCTGTGGCTCTTGCGGGTGTTGCTGCTGCTGCTGTGACTGTTGCAGCGGCAGCAGCTACTGCTGATGTTATTGTTTCTGCTGCTGGTTTTGTTGCTGCTGCTGGTCCTGCTGCAACCTCTGAGCAGCAGCAGAAGCCCGTCTAGCCCTGCTCTCAGCAGCAGCAGCAACAGCAAATCACGCTGTGGGGTGTCTATGTTGCTGCAGGGCCGCCCAAGGCGCGATCTGACGGTGCTGCTGCTTCCTGCTGCTGCTGCTGCTGCAGTTACAGGAGCAGCAGCGTTAAGACGCATCTTTGCTCAGTGGAAGGCTATGATCTTCGTGCTGGCAGCAGATGCGCCTCTTGTGCTGCAGCAGCATCAGCAGCAGCAGCAGGCGGATACGCAGGTGTACAGGCAGCTGCTTATCTTCGGCCAGCCGTATGTTCTGCTACTGCTGCAGTCTTTGCTGCTGCTGCTGCTGTGTTTGCTGCTGCTGGTGCTTCTGCGATGGTGTCTGCATAGTGGTGCTGTTTCTGCTGCTGCTGCTGCTGCTGCTGCTGCTGCAGTGCTTGCTTGTTAGTGAAGACGCTACGTGCCTTTACTGTCTCTGCTGCTGCTGCTGCTGCTGCTGCTGCTGCTGCTGCAGGATGCAGCGGCTGGGTGCAGCACTGGAGTTAATTAGTGCTGCCGACATACACACAGCTGGCTTCTACAGCAACGCAATAAAAGACTGTCTCCTTGCTTCTGGAGTGTCTCCTCAGCTGCTGGAGGCAGGCAGCAGCAGCAGCAGCAGCAGCAGTACTAGTAGTAGCAGCAGCAGCAGCTGCAGATGCCTGCTGAAGTGCTCCCTCGAAGATCTCCAGATGCGCTCCTTCAAGTGCAGAAACAGCAGCAGCAACAACAACAGCAGCAGCAGGAACAACAACAGCAGCAGTAGCAGCAGCAGCAGCAACAGCAGCAGCAGTGGCAGCAGCGGCAGCAACAGCAGCAGCAGTAGCAGCAGCAGCAGCACCGAAAAGACGTTAGCAGCAACTCCAGCAGCTGGGGATTCTGCTCAGCCCAAAGAAGCCCAACAGCAGCAGCAGCAAGAACAACAACAGCAGCAGCAGCAACAACAACAACAGCAGCAACAACAACAACAACAGCAGCAGCAGCAGCAGCAGCGGCGGCAGGTGGTTGGGCTGTACTCAGGGGCAGAGCGCATGCTGATTGAATTTGTTATTCTACCTGCTGTAAAAGGGACAGTGCAAAGAGATAAAGAAGCAGATATAAAAAGGCGGATCAGCAGAGCAGCAGCAGCTCCAGCCGTCTGCTTCAATAGTTTTGCTGCTGTTGCAGGCACTGCAGCAGACAGAGCAAGATTAAAAGATTATCTGCTGCTGCTGCGCACTAGAGACATCAAAATCAAGCAGCAATTAATAAGGAGACGGTAAGGAAGACAGAAAACATATTAAAAATAAACAAATAAGCTGAAGAGATATGTAGAAAGAGACAGACAGACAAAGAAGGAGACAGACAGAGAAACAGAGAACAACAGACAAACTGTAGGGTTTAGGGTTTAGGGTTTAGGGTTTAGGGTTTAGGGTTTAGGGTTTGGTGGCGTGCTTCAGAGAGGACGTGCTGCAGGTGCCTGTCCCTCTGGCAGCAGTGTGCGGCCGCTTTGCTGTTGTTAGTGCAGCACTCCGTGCAGTAGAAAAGGAGACAGAGACTATTTGCTTCGCTAATGCAAACTTGTGAGTTGCTGCTGCAGTTGATGCTGCAGTTGCTGCTGCAGTTGCTGCTGCAGTTGCTGCTGCAGTTGCTGCTGCAGTTGATGCTGTAGTTGCTGCTGCAGTTGCTGCTGCAGTTGCTGCTGTTGCTGCAGTGGGTGCTGCTTCAATTGCTGCTACTGCAGTTGCTGCTGCAGTTGGTACTGCTGCTGCAATCGCTGCTGCTGCTGTTGCTGTTGCTGCAGGCTGTCTTTGTTTTTGTCTCCATCATATTTTTCGTTGTCTCAATTTTATTTATCTCTTCATTCTTTATCTTCTCGCTGTCTCCTTTATCTCTGTCTCTATTATTTTCTTTTTCTCATTTGTTTGCGTCTTTCTGCTGCTGCTGCTGCTGCTGCTGCTGCTGCTGCGTTTCAGGCGGCGTCCCCGTCTGTCTGCTGCATGCTGTCTCTTCTCAATATTATCACCGAGTGCAGCAGCAAGACAAAAAGCTTCGTCTATGCTTTTAGCAAAGTTTACAGCAGAGGGTCTCCTTCCTCCTCTTACTATCCCTCTTGTTCATCCTGCAGCAGCAGCAGCAGCAGCAGCTGCTGCTGCTGCTGCTGCTGCTGCTGCTGCAGCTTCTCCTGCACCACCCCCTCCTCCTCTACAAGCACTCCCATCTCCTCTTCACTTAAACCCTAAACCAAACAAAAGACAAAAAGCTAATCATTCTGATTCCTTAAGGGGGCCCCCAGGGGGCCCCCCAGTGGTCCCTATAGGGCCCCATAACGGGGCCCCCCCCCAGAGGCCCCTTATAAGAGCACCCCCAGGGCCCCTATCAGGGGGGCCCCAAGGGGGCCCCCCAAGGCCCCACTCAGGGGCCTCCCGTCGTCAACTCTCAGGGGGAGGCCCCCAACGGCCTCTTGTAGGGGGCCCCCAGGGGGCCCCTTCAGGTGATTCCCAGGGGCCCCTTGGAGGGGCCCCCCAAAGGAAATTCTCAGGGGGCCCCCAAGGTCCCCTTCAAAGGCATCCCCAAGGGCCCCCACTCCCAGGGGGGCCCCAAAGGCCCCCTGTAGGGGGCCCCCAAGGGCCCCTAGTAGGGGGCCCCCAGGGGCCCCTACCTGAAGCCCCACAGGGGCCCCAAGTAAGAGGCCCCCGGAGGCCCCATGTAGGGGGCCCCCAGGGGCCCCATGTAGGGGGCCCCCAAGGGCCCCCTATAGGGGGCCCCCAGAGGCCCCCCCCTAGGGGCCCCCAAGGTCCCCATGTAGGGGGCCCCCAAGGTCCTCTACCAGGGGGGCCCCTGATGGGGACTGCCCCTGGGGGCCCCCCAGGGGCCCCTGTGATGGGCGGTACCCCTGTATCGTTGGGGGAGGGGCCCCCCTTTAAGAAGCTGCATGCGAAGACACAGCAGAGGATTGGCTTAGGGGGCCCCCCTTCTGTTGCTGCTAAAGGTTTAAGCAACGTAGAGACTGTAGAGGGGTTTGGTGGAAGGTAAGAGTGTCTCCTCTTTATATTTTATTTGTTGTTTTAGTCTCTTTGTCTCTTCTTTCTTTTTGTTTTGTTTATATTATTTTTATTTTATATTGTTTGTCTCTGTCTATGCTATGCTCAGCCGTCGCCCTTTCTTCGGGGCAGCGCAGCAGCCTCAGCAACAGGAGTTTGCTGCTGCTGCGGCTGCTGCTGCTGCTGCTGCTGCTGCATCTGGCCAGCTATACGCATCGGACCGAGGGCTGAATCAGCAAGAGAACGCCGCTGCCGCAGCAGCAGCTGCAGCAGCAGCCACAGCAACAGCAGCAGCAGCAGCTGCTGCTGCTGCGCACACCTTCATGCCGCCCAACCGCCAGCAGCAGCAGCAGCCCCTATATACCCCTTTGCTCCAGCAGCAGCAAAACGATATAGTCAACGCCCCACAGCAGACAGCACGAAGCAGAAAGAGAGCAGCAGATCCAAGCTGGCCGCAGCAGCCGCAGCAGCAGCAGCAACAACGGCCCGCAATGGAGCAGCAGCACCAGTTGCCTATAGGCCAGCAGCAGCAACAAAGGCGGCAGCAGCAGCACACCCCCCCAAAACACAAGCAGCAGCTAGCCGGACGGCAGCAGCAGCAGCAGCAACAGCCTCAGCAGACCTGGCCAGAGCTGCAGCAACCGTGGGTAGACCAGCGTCAGCAGCAGCAGCAGCAGCAGCAGCAGCAGCAACATCAACAGCAGTGGCCTCAACAGCGACGGCAGCAACAGGGGTGGCCTGAAAGTCAGCAGCAGGGATGGAATGAGCAGCAGCAGCAGCAGCAGCAGCAGCAATGGCATCATCCGCAGCAACAGCAGCGGTGGCCTGAACAGCAGCAGCAGCAGCAGCAACCCGAGCAACAGCAGTGGCCTGTGGAGCGGCAGCAGCAGCCGTGGCCTGAGCAGCAGCAGCAGCAGCAGCAGCAACAGCGCCAATGGCCTCAACGACGGCGGCAGCAGCAGCAGTGGCCTGAGCAGCAGCAGCAGCAGCAATGGCCTGAGCAGCAGCAGCAGCAATGGCCTGAGCAGCAGCAGCAGCAATGGCCTCAGCGACGGCAGCAGCAGCAGCAATTGCCCGAACAGCAGCAACAGCAGCAGTGGCCTGAGCAGCAGCAACGGCGACAGTGGCCTGAGCAGCAGCAGCAGCAGCAGCAGCAACAGCAATGGGCTATAAGAAGACAGCAGCAGCAGCAGCAGTGGGGTGAGCAGCAGCATGAGCAGCAGCAGCGGCGTGTGCCTCAGCAGCAGCAGCAGCAAATGCACCAGCAGCAGCAGCAGCGAGGGAGGTGGCAGCAGCAGCAAGGAGTGAATACACCTCAACCCGTCGACTTCTTTGCAGGGAGCAGTGCCCAGCAGCAGCAGCAGCAACAGCAGCTGCAGCACGCCCACGTAGCAGCAGAGAGGCGTGTGGAGCAGCCACAGCAGCAGCGGCAACGCCCGCGCGGCTACAGGCAGCAGCAGCAAATGCAGCAGCAACAGCAGCAAATGCAGCAGCAGCATATGGCATCTCAGTCACAGACTATGGGGTGGGGCGACCCGCGGCAGCAGCAGCAGCAGCAGCAGCAGCAGTACGACATGCAGCAACAGCAGCAGACGCAACAGTATGGCATGCAATCGCAGCAGCAGCAGCAGCAGCAGCAGGTGCAGCAGCAGCAGCTCGCGCAGCAGCTGATGCAGCTGCTGCAGCAGGTGCAGCAGCAACAGGCCTGCAACACCAGTCAAAATATGGTGCAGCAGCAGCCGCAGCAGCAATCTTATAACATGCAACAGCAGCAGTCGTACACAATGCAGCAGCAGCAGCCTTATAACATGCAGCAGCAATCTTATAACATGCAGCAGCAGCAGCCGTACAACATGCAGCAGCAGCGGCAGCCCTATGGCATGCAGCAGGGCTTCAACATGCAGCAGCATCAGCTACACTACGGTGGGCAGCAGCAGCAATATCAGCCGCAGCAGCACTACCGCTGAGTTTTTCAACAGCAGTAGCAGCACCAACCCCCTGAGCAGAAGCAGCAGCAGCAGCACTTGCTGCTGCTGCAGCAGCTCGTTGTCTCCTTCTGTTCGTCTCTTTCTGTCTCCCTGTGCTTGTGGGAGCGAAGCAACAGCCAGCAGTAGCAAGCAAAGCAGCAGCAGCAGCGGCAGCAGCAGCACTTGCTGCTGCTGCCGTTGCAGCGTATTGCCTCCTTAACAAACTTCGACCGGATAAGTTGGCCTTGCAAGTGCTGCTGCTGCAGCAGCAAGTTCTGCTGCAGCAGCAGCAACAGTAGCAAGTGCTGCTGCTGCAGCAGCAGCAACAGTAGCAAGTGCTGCTGCTGCAGCAGTAGCAGCAGCAACTGGTGCTGCTGGTGCTTTCGTAAGACTTCATTTTACTTCGCTGCATAAGCAGACTTCAAATGTTTATTTAGTAGGATTTAGGGTTTAGGGTTTAGGGTTTAGGGTTTAGATGCCTAGACGAGACCTCGAGGTGCATGTACACCCCATCAGACCTTTTGCTGCTGTTTGCATGCAAACAGCAGCAAAAGAGGTTTAAGCCTCTCAGCTCTCATCATCAGAGGAGACAGGGGACGCCTCTGCAGCATCTACATCCCTTGCATCAACAACAGCAGCAGCAGCAGCAGCAGCAGCAGCGCGTTTTTTACTCCCTGTTCGTGCTGCTGCTGCTGCTGCTGTAGAGTCTCCTGCAGCACCCATGAGGCGCAGCACTGCCTCTTGCAGCGTCTCTGCTGCACCTTGAGAAATATTTAGCAGCTGCTGCATGCAAGCACTTCGACTCTTGCGGTGTCTGTACACCTGAACAACCACAACAAACAGCAGCAGCAGCAGCAGCAGCAGCAGTGTTGACACTAAAGCGGCACAGTGGGCCTTTCAATGCTGCGGAAGCAGCAGCAGCAGCGGCTGCTACTGCTGCTGTTCCTGTTGCTGCTGCTGCTGTTGCTGCTGCTGCTGTCACCTGTAGAATT